AGTGTTGATGGACAAATAATCTATGGAAACAAGATATCCCATGTTTGAATATCAATGTGAACCTACTATTGACAAATGAAGAATAACGAATATAATATATTGACTAATGATAAATAAGGAACTGTATGTACAAGTAGAAAATAGAAATAATTGAAGATTTTTGAGATACAATATACTATATGCTGATTTTTGATCTCATGGTTGAATACTGACTGATATTGTATTATATGTGTGTTTTTCCTCAAAAAGACAGATTATTGCTGAAAATCGATAGATACAAACAAACAAAACAAATATACCCCCCTGAAGAAGCCGTTGTGGGCGTAACGCGTAGGGGACTCATCAAATAATGATATACTTGTTAAGAATATATGGAATATGTAAAAGTTATATGAATGTACTACTTTGTAATATGGATTTTAAGTATATGAATCAGCAATAGCCGTTAGAGACAGTATACTGACATCTGGAGAACTATATGAATGTTACTACAAGTGGATTGTTTTATATTGAACTATGGGATTTTTTTATTATAATTAAATAAATATTTATTAAGTACATATATCTGAGTCCTTTCTAAACACACTCCATCACAATAGCAATATTGTAAATGATTCTTTGAAACTCAATATTTAGGAGGTGTGGACTCAGGTCACCTTGGCTGAGATCGGGAAGTGCTATTACTGGAATTACAATTGACAATTAGAAGTAAATACTTTGTAAATAAATGGCTGTTTTCTCGTTCATCCCGGTGTGTGCCCAAGCGCAGATGGTCAGGTCGGCAAATTCGAGTGGGTTGGCATTCTCAACAGAACACCGGATAATGGAGAGTTTACTATATATTGAAAACAAGGCTTGGCTACAGGAAGTATGTATTTATAGAATGAAGCTTGGATATAAGAAGTGCTGATATCCAGAACGAGGCTTGGAATTCTGTAGTTACATTCAGAATGAGGCTTGGATACAGAAAGCATATGACCAGAACGAGGCTTGGATACAGGAAGTGCTGATATCCAGAACGAGGCTTGGATTGGGCAAAGAGGACTGCATGGATAGTTGCACTTACAAGTTCCACAGCAAAGGAAATGATGAAAATCACAACAGTACAGCAGCAAGAGTGACACATACGTATGGCGGTACTGTGGGTGTTTGTATTGATATAAGAAGGTGTTTTAGTGAGAGGCCTGTATGTTTCTGGGAGGGTTGCTGTGGTGGTATAATAACAGAGTAAGCTTTTAACTTAAAGTGATATTAAAGCCTCCTTTTTAAAAAAATATTTCCTACAAGGAGATGCACCTTTGCTGGAGGCTGTTGCTGTCTTTCTTAAGTTCTTAATTTCTCGTTTTCTAGTGGGTCCCCACAGCAATCTTCCCCCCCCCCCCCCCCCCATCCCCGGGCCCCCCAGCACCCGTACGCGCTCGTGCCCATAGTGGCTGTGTGCGTCCATAGACATACACAGCCCTGTGGTAGGCCACGCCCCTTCTCTCTTTGATGGCAGAAGGAGCTCATGGCTCCTGGGGTGGACTGGGGGAGAAAAAAGGTGCTGGGTCATTTTTACCCTAATGCAGAGAATGCATTAAGGTAAAAAAAACACCCAGATCTTAATACTACTTTTGATCTATGAATATGTTGTGAAATAAAGCAATCTTTGTGATAATATGGTATGTTATGCTCGAAATCTGTTTTCCCAGGACCCAATAGTGCACTGAGCCTTGCTGTATATCCTCCGCGACTGCTTTCTGGGAGTTCCCTCTCAGTCCCTTCAGGTTCCGGATCACAGGGTTGTTTAATGCCTCTGCCTTGTCCGATATAGATCTGTTTCCAGTTCCTCTGGGCCAAGCTTCTTAAAACCCAACTCCAGGATGGGGGAAAAAACCCTTGTGGTCATACTCCGCCCTCCCAGCTTCAAGGGTTAAATGCTTATTTATTCCAGGGGGAGATAAGCTGTATTACTTACCTTCACCCCCGCTGTGTTGCTCTCTCCCTCTCTCCTCTGCTGTGGGTGGTCCCTCGGTGTCTTCAGGTACAATGCTGGATTATTAGCCCTGCATTGTGAGAAGCAATTTCGGTCCAGGAGAGGACTGAGGAAGGGAAGGCCGGAGTTTAGCTTTAACATTTCTAGATGTTCACTATAACATAGCAAATATTAACTGTTTGAGTTGATTTCCATCTTACCTCCCCCAACACCTGAACGAGAGAGAGACAGACAGACACCCCCCTCCCCAACACGGTCCTAATTCCCACACTCAGCCTCGATTTACTTACATCTGTAATGCTGCTCCGCACTTGTCCAGCATCAGAGCCTCTGCATCTATAAGAAGCAGTCTTGCATCAAAACCGTGCAATGCCCAGATCCTGATAACAGAAGAAAGCACTCTGTGATAATTCACCTGTAATATAAATACCACATTGACCCTGTGCTGAAATTTATTTGGAGGTTTGTTTTATTTTGCAGGATTTAAACCGAGGCTCCTGATCCTGTGAAGGGCTGTATGTGGACTTGCATAGAGCCGGTTTTTACTTGCTGAAGACTATTGAAGAAGAAATGACCAGCCAGGTAAATTCATTTTTTCCGAGTCTCATGGTGGAGACCGAAGGAAAATTTGTCTGTTTCGCTCATGGAAACCAATCCAATCGCAGCTGTCAATAGAAAATGAAAGGAATAACCTAATTGTTTTTTATTTGCAATACAGACACTTTTTTTTTTTGCTTTCCTCCAGTTTTTACATATTGAACAGACTAAGTCAATTAGTATGCAATGCCAGGCTGCAGCAAACAAACCTAGCAGGGCCTTGTCTGTATTAAAAAGGGAATGTACTGTAGGGACTAAGCAATCATTTTGCCACTTTATAGATCGCTGGTTTGACCTCATCTAGAGTATGCGGTTCAGTTTTGGTCACCAATTCATAGAAAGGATGTCCTTGAGCTGGAGAGAGTCCAGAGAAGGACAACTAAACTAATGAAGGGGCTGGAGGACCTAAGCTATGAGACAAGGCTACTAAATGTAAACTTGTTCACGCTGGAAGTGAGGAGATTAAGGGGGGACATGATTTTTGATGTACAAAATGTTTAGTGGTGATGGCCACATCAGCAATAAACTTTTTACAGTGAACTTTATAACAAAGACTTTTCAGTTAGAGCCGTTAAAGTCTGGAACTGGCTGAAGTGGTATCAGCTGACAGTATTGAATCATTCAAAAAGCATTTAGATACCTTCCTCAGAGACCGCAACATACAGGGTACACTTAGAAACAAGAACACACAGGGACTCGTGTACACGCACACATGCACAACCACACACATACACACAAGAGGTTGAACTTGATGGACCTGTGTCTTTATTCAACCTGAAATACTATGTAACTATGTAATTACATAACATTTTAAAGTTGTCATAAATATATAAAATGTAAACGTACATTTGCTGTAAAAGGCCTAATAATCTTTATCCTGCTCCCCAGATCATAGTACTGCATGCTGAGCTGATTAGACAAACTGTACATATCCGAGCATGCTCTCTGTGTCACCCCATTATTCTCTATAGAATAATAGCTGGATGCCATAAGAGTTGCAGAGCAGCCCATACCTGAGCATGCTGGCTGACACCTCTACAACATACGATGATGATTTATGGAAGGGCTACTGATAAATATTAAATGTCAGACAGGCTTTTCAATAAGCAAGTGTTTGTGTGAAAGCTGCACTTGCATATATTTATTTTTAAGATTTATTGGAAGGTGCTTTAACAGACAGCTTCACCTATAGTAAAATTGTACTCGTGGCAGCCTCTAGCAGTCTCTCTGAGTATGGCTTCGGAATGACTGAGACTGCGCAGTATAAAGAGGAGCCAGCCTGTATCTTGTTGGAGAAAAGATCAGTGAGGAAGGTATGTTTTATCCCAGGGGGGGCTGTGTTCGCAGAGCCATTCGTCCTGTGAAGCTGGATGTATATTTGTACTGTGCGGATGGAAGGAAAACAAATGTATTAGTATATTTTCTTTCCAGGTTAAATGTCATCGGGTAAAAATTGCATTGTGGCCACTAGATGGAGCTGAGGAGCATAGGACATAAATATGTTTCCTATGCTCCTCGGCTCCATTTAATGGCCATAATGTGAGATTTTCTTCCATTTGACCTCGAAAGAAAATGCTATTTTTTGCCTCCATTTGCACAGAGCAATTGTACAGGCAATTTCGCAGGACGAAGGGCTCTGCAGATTTTTTGTTTTAATAAATACACCCCTAAGTGGTGGATGTGTCTTTACATCCTAAAAATGACCTTCAAACGAATAGTTTGAAATAATCTCTGGCATAAGGAACCTCGCTGTAACTGGATGTTGTTTTAAGTCTTTCATACTCCCATATATGCTGGTCTTGTGTTGAATTTCAAAGACAACAATTGAGTTACATAGTAGTTTATATGTTGTTTCTAGGGTCCCATCACATTCTATAATGTTGCTGGCTCCTTTAGCGAGGATCAGTGGATGCGCATGGAAAACCGTCAGAAAGATGTTTACAGAAATGTGATGAAAGAGATTCATGGAGCATTAATAACACTCGGTGAGTCTGAATCCGCTTGAACTCTTAAGTGAATGGATAAATGCATAGTAAAAATAGGCATATGAGAACTTATCTGCCAGAAGAGGTGTAATATTGTACATCCATTCTTGTGATCTGCCTCTACCAAACAGCACAACCAAAGTTTTAGGATTTTCACTGTAGTTAAAGCAGGACCTGGACATACCCTTAAAGTGACTCACCTTCATTGTCCCTGCTCCCCTTGAAAGCTGCGTCATTGCAATTGGGCACAGCTGTGATCATGTCTCTTAGTTCCGAAGCTGCCTGCTCCCTCAAAGTGTCCCCCCCCCCCAAATACTTTCCTATTTGTCCATCAAATCATGGGCTGCCTCACAGTCCGATAGGAATGTGTGGAAGATGAGTGACCCGGTATGCTTTGGCTCTACCAGATATTGCCATTACTTTGTCCCATCAGAGCAACCCTGAATTTAATTAGAGCTTTTAATAGCACTTTCAAATAGGAGTTTATCTTTAAATGGATAATACATAAAAGTTTTATATATGTTTATAGTTTTTCCAATTTTATTTTCCCTCACATTGTTATCCTTTTTATTCTGATATAGGTTATTCAATTTTGGATCCAAGCATTATTTTCAGCATTAAAAGGCAGGATGAATCGTATGTCCTTATTGACAGTTTCTCCATGGAAAAGGCAAGCGCCGTAGTTGGAGGTAGGTGACGTACTGTTTAAAAGGGATGTTAGGTCAGGATGTAGATGATGTTTAGGTGTTTGTCAGCAAAGAGGAGAAGCTCTTTAAAGGAGAACTATGGGGTTAAGGCTTTTCCCCATAGTTCTCCTTAGGGTAACCGGAGGACACAAACTAGCGTCCTCCCGTCACCCTAAGCTCAGTATAACGCGAGCTACAGGTCGCGGTATACTGAGACGCCACAGTATACCGCGAGCTACTGCTCGCGGTACAGTGAGACGCTGCAGCTGAAGCGGATCCCGACAATTATGTCTGGATCCACCCAGCTGCGTGAGTGACAGCTGGCCCTGCCTATCTAGAGGCAGAGCCAGCTGTACCATCCCCCGTCCGATCCGCCAGTCAGCGCTGGCAGATTGGAGCATGGAGGGGGGAATCCAGCCCCTCCCCTGTCACGGCAGAGAGCTGTGACAGGATCGAGAGGTGAGCGAAGTATGTGTTTGCTCACCTCCCGATCTACCGAGTCGACCTGTGACAGTCTCATTGTCACAGGTCGGCTAGAACTATGAGGTGAGTGAAAAGCACTCACCTCATAGTTCTCCTTTTAATAAACTCTGGTCAGACCATATCCCAAGGTTTCGGACTCTCTCCCTATCCCTATGATGCCTGGCAATTGGCTGCTCAGGAATTCTGGGATATAGTTTAGGGGGAAAGGGAGAGGGTATCTTTCTGCATACCTGGAAGCGCCAGACATTTCTCTTTGCACCCGGTGGCTTAAGGGAGTAGCAGGGGATAGAAAGGAAGGAGAGAAAATTACAAATCCAGTTTAAAATTCTCTCTTTTTCTGTTGTAGACTTTCCTGATATTTTAGTGAAGATAAAGGAAGAACACATTGGAGAGACCCCAGTAAGTCAGGAAGAACATTGTGTCATAGACAATCAACCTTCTACGTGTGAGTAGTGACAGTATAATAATACACATTTCTGACTGTGGTATGCTGTATTGATGCAGCTGTCTATAATTTGATATCTGTATCTTATCAGCAGGTTCTCGTCCAACTATAAAGATCAAGCTGGAGAAAACATATGAACCCGTCGGCTCAGGAGCTCAAACTAAATTTGCAGGTAAATATCTGCTTTTTTACCCTCCATGTCCACACTCCTACCAGATCCATGATTCATGGGGAGCTGCACAGACACCCCAGTAAACTCTCCTGGCTAGTCCCTCCGTTCTTTTGCCCATGCATAGTAAAATCTCATTTATTCCTATAGAGAGGCCCTCTGTTATGCATTCCAACCACAGACTACCTTTCGATTGGAACAAACTGGATTCCTCTTCACGGTAGGACTTCTAGAACGGTAGGACCAGCCGCCAGAATTTGCAGCAGCTATGCGGCTCCCTGTGGGCTGCTCAGTATGGATCTGGCAGGGGCCTGCATAAGGACTATACGCTAGCATTGTCTTTAAGAATTCAGTAATGGTTGCCTCCATAGTGATAGATTTCTGTTAAAGCTTTATTGACTGTTTTTTTAAAGTGGAACTGAACTCAAAGGCGAAGATTTGCTATGTTAAAGGGAACATTAGAAATATTAATTGTGCCTGAGTAGCACCCTGATGAAATCCTACCTTTTTTGTCTTTAATCCCTCCTGAAAAATAGCAGTGAACGTTTGGTATGCGAGTGTGCCTAGGCATGTCTGTGACAACAGCCTCATAGCTGAATATTTTCAGTGTGAGATCTGGGGCACTGCTGCCTCTGACTGTTAGTGTCCGGAGAAGTGGAGTGAGAGTTGGTGATGTTGCTAATGTGCTGCTCACTATTCTCTTTAATGGAAACCTCTGGCAGGAGGAAGCAAAGCCCTATTAAAATGGCTTCCTCCTCACGCAGACACTGTGCAGAACAAGGCATAGTATGTCAGTATTGAGGCTGAGATCAACTGCAGGGAGACTATGGGCAATACGGGTGACTAGGCCTGTGCCCTCTCACTGCCTGTGTACTGCTTCCAAAATCAAGTTCTATTTTATTACTAGTTGTCATTCGGCATCAGTACAAGGAGTCTGTGTGGGACACCTCGGGTTCACCTTGGATAGAAGAGTTTACAGGCAAAGCACCGCAGTTCAACCTTATTGGTTAATAAAGAAACAGCCCTACTTTTCACAAGTTTTCATTCATGCTTCTTTTATATTTTGCAGACCCTCCACCCGAAACATCTAATGTAGTTTTTATTAAAAAAGAGGAGGAGGTGTTTTCAATAAATGATTATAACAGTGCAGGAGGGGAGGATACTCCCAGGAACAGCGCAGGTAAATATGTGCTCTTCTCTACTGAATGTTTCTTCTAAAAAAGACACTTTTTTTTTTTTCCGATTTCATCAATGCAGATCAACTTAGCTCATTGCAAGGGCACATAGAAAACAATTATTTCCCGTATGCCCTATTTTCACCATACAAGTGTGTTGGTGCGCGTTGCATAAAAATGCAGCATGTCAGCTTTTTTTTATGCACAATAGAAAAATGTCACCAGCACACCATAAGTTGAAAAAGCCAAATATTGTATTGCCAATAGCTGTAGCTCATTGGCAAGCGCTTTCGGGGGCCTCGCAGGGTCCCCTTCATCAGCTTAGAAGGGGACCCTGCGAGGCCCCGAAAGCGCTTGCCAATGAGATACAGCTATTGGCAATCAAATATTTGGCTTTTTCAACTTATGGTGTGCTGGTGACATTTTTCTATTGTTCATGTGTGGCGGTGCCATCCGCAGTAATTTCGAGCACCCATCCTCATCAAGTGGGAATCCCGGTAAGGAGTGCGGTATGGTTCCCGTTTCAGGTTTTTTTTATGCAACACAAAACTACATGTAAATGTAAGTCACAAAAATAAACCCATGTGACCAGTAAAAATTAAATGTGTTTTAAAACCTAGTTCAACTTGTCCTTGTTGCTAGCATTATTGGTGTAAAAGCAGGACACCACTGCTTTTACACCGATAATGCTAGCAGCAAGGACTACAAACGCCCAGTAAATTCAGAGACCATGAGTTTATATTAAAAAGCCCTCCACCGCTACTTTTTCAGAGGTGGATGCAATCTAGCAGTGAACACATGGCCCCAGAAAGTTGCTTATAACTTCTCAGAATGGAATCAGAATGGCGACAATAGAGTTTCAGGACAGAGCCCTGAGCACTATTGTGTTCGCTGTCAGTGTCCTAGCAGTATAATAGCTCACAGATAAAGGAACTACGAGTGTAGTGAAGGTCATTCATAGATCAAAAAGCAGTTATAGAGCTGACAGAAAATTGCATAGTTGCAGTAGCAAATGGTGGTGTTAGTGTGACAGGTGTGTGACCTAGCTGAATAGAATTAAAAAAGGTTTGTGCGTGTAGTTTAGTTTTCTAGTGGAATTTCTGCATTTACAATTCAAATCAGATTTGCTATGTGGCATGTAAAGAATGGATTAAACTAGTAGACAGCCACGGTGAGTGATATAGGTAACAGAAAAGGCAGTAGTGGCTTTACAGTAGTATGCCGTTATTTGGCGCACAGCCAGATACTGGGATTTTGTATTGGCGAGTCGATTTTTGGCTCGGTTAGACAACTTCCTGAAAAGCTTAGATCAATCATGCGTATGCATTCTATATTAAAAATGCCCCAAAAATAACAGAGCCCAACACAACCTTTCTCAGCCTTTTAAACCAGGATTAACCCTTGAAATAATTTTCAGGTCTCAGGGAACGCCTGCTAAAAATGATAATCACGGTACATCTCACGGTACATTAGTAAGATCAAGAAGTTATAGATATATTAAAGGAGAACTATGAGGTGAGTGATTTCCACTCATCCTCATAGTTAGAGCCGACGTGTGACAAAGAAGCTGTCTCAGGTCGTCTCTATTGATCGGGAAGTGAGCAGAAACATGCATTAGATCCGCTCACTTCCCGATCGTCTCCCTGCGGTGACTGTCAGTCACGGCTCCCCGCAGGGATTCTTCCCTCTCCGATCCTCCAGCGCTGAGTGGAGGATCAAACGGGGGAGGGGGCGGGCACAGCTGGCTCTGCCTCAAGATTGGCAAAGACAGCTGTCACTCACACAGCTGGGTGAATCTCAACAGTAATGTCGGGATCCGTCCCGGCTGTGGCGCTGTCAGTATATCGCAGGCGATAGCCCGCTATATACTGAGCTTTGGGTCACGGGAGGAGGTTAGTATATGTCCTCCCGTGACCCTAATGAGAACTATGGGGGAAACACTTACCCCATAGTTATTTTTTAAAATATTACAAATGTGGCATAGCTGGAGTATTTAACATCAAAGGTGGTCATTTTTTAAACACTTTTTGCTCTGTATAAAATCATTTTCAATAACGATCACAAAATTTAAATGAAAAGTAATTCTGTCCCATAAAGACAGAAAGAGAGTCCCTTACACTGGTGGTCGGTGGCTCCTCGTATAGGGATTAGTAAACACGCCTAGAGGTATGTGGAGGATGCTTTTCTTCACACATCCCATCCATCGTATACTGTCTGCCTCTACTTCGCTTCTAAGGATTGTCTTTCGTTTTAAAGGTTTCAGGACACCTCCTCTTTCCTACTATGACATAATTGTTGTTTGTCTGTGGCAGGGGTTCCTGGTGTGAAGCAAGAACCTGATGATAGTGATGACGAGAAAACGGACAATGAGGACCTTGAAAATATAAGTAGGTGATGTAACTTCCCACTCTGCCAAGTGTTAAAAACTCCTGTCAGGTTTTTCTTTCTTCTTCATTGCTGTTTGTGTCCGCTGGGAAGATTTCCCTGGTGACCAATGTCGTTCGTGCAGAAATGGTGGGAAATCCAAAGTGTGCTCCAGTTCTTTTCAAAATGAATCCCACCACAACACACTAATGCATTCATTCCACCTGACATTGAAAATGTAGACTTTAGGGGAATTTGCCGTTTCAATGGTTAGGCAGATTATCATTATAAGCAACAACAAAGTCATTACCTAGTCTCAAGAGATGAGATCTGATGACTGGATGCGATGATCTTGCTTCAGAACTTTTTAGCATGCCTTGAAGTAGATCTAAACTCAATAACTAAAATCTTCTACAAGCGTTAACATGCTGTAGTTTCAAAAGGTGCTCTGTCTGTTTAAATTTGCAACTTTCACTGGTGGTCCTGCCACGAAGGTCTTTATTCGGGCACGTTCTTTTAGGGGGTGGCTGTCTCCCAGTTGTGCTTGCCCACCTGGCGGAGGCTACAAGTGGCCATGCTGTCATTGCTTGAGCATGGCCCACCAATTTCTAAAAAAAAAAAAGTCTCAACCAATGATGTGCAGCTGATTCTGGAGCAGGTGCATGTTGTAGTGGCTGAAAGAGGCTGGGGGAGATCAGCAATGCTGATATCAAAAAAAGCCGCCAACTGTATTTTGTAGGGATGTACCGATACCCGTTCAGATACCATTGCTGATACTTGGCATTTTCATGAGAACTACCAGAGTTTCAGCGGTTGCAGCTGGGACCTGGCTCTGGCGCTCCACCACTGTCCTGAAATCATTAGTCTGTATTGTATTAGAAAAACTGTCACATGACAATAAACAAAAATGTATCAGTACTTGTATCTGTGAGGACTTGGAGAAGTATCAGTACTTGTACTTGAAAAAATGGTATCGGTGCATCACTTATATATATTTATAAAAACAAAATCATACATTAAAACAGAGATGTACAAATCCCAGGAGCTCCGTGTGCTCCTTTCAAATGACAGCTGCCTCCTAACTTTTGAGTTTTTCTCTAGTCTAGTCTAGTCTAGTCTAGTCTAGTCTTGGAGCTGGAAAAGTATCTGTACTTGTACTTGTACAGAGTACGGTACTTGGTATCAGTGCATCCCTAGTATTTTGTAAAGAATACATAGCAATTACGTTATACATGGCAAGATAGATGTCTTCCAGTTGCAGTTTACATTTACTTTAGGGGCTTTTGCAGCTTGATGAATAAGGCTCACCATGGGAAAACACAGTATTGTTATGGTAGAACATCAACTGCTTGGAGCCCTAATGTCTGGTGGATCAATGGAGATTCAGGTGCTAACCACGGTGTTGTATTTTATCCTATAGTTCCTATGATTGTGAAACAAGAGGAGTCTGACCTAATTAGAAATGAACACCGTGAAGAACCACAACCTGCTCACTGCAGTTCAAGTAATTGTTGCATTTTCATACATTGAGTAAAATGTGGGTGTGAAGTCTGTTAACCTTTTACAGATGTTTACACGTCTAAATTGGTTAAATAGAAGTGCGTTACGGAACATTACATGCATTTTTTAATACACAGGATCTGTCTGTCAGCAAGATCATGCGTAGCTATCAATCTTTTATTGCTCCTTATTGTAGCTTAAAATGGTCTTACAGGTGCGTTCCAGTGCGTTTGCATGCATTTTGGATGTTTCCATGTGTTCCAGTGCATTCCAGACTAGGAAAAATAAGACCAGCAGTATTTTTCTGCTCTCGACCGGAACGGACTGTGCTGGTGTGAACAGAGCCCAGAAATACCATAGGGATACATTGGGATCCTTTTTTGGTCCGGGAACAAACTGTTCTGGTCTGGACATGGTATGAACAAGCCATTAAAACTGGTGTGTAGTGCATCTCAACTCATACAGACATACATGCGCAGATGTCCATATGAGCTAATATGCATGCAGGCTTCTTACAACAGCTCCCTTCCTGGCCTTGAATTACTTGAATTAGTCATTTACTAGTCAGCAGCGGTGATAGAGGTGAAATGTAACCTCGGGCTTTAGTCATGAATGACTCAAAGCCAAAGTGATTCTGCGCCGCCAATCGGGGAAGGAATCATTTGAGTCATGGAAGGCCAGGAGAGAGATGTAAAGATCAACATTGAGTAAGTGGCTGTGCAGGCGTAGAATGATATCTGCCTTCAGTTTTTCATGACTGAAGGGCTAGGACTTTTTGTGTCTGTGTCGCTGATGATGCCTACACATTGTGTACATGTCTTCCTTCACTAGGCAGTGGTGGCCATGGTCCTTTGATATTCATGGAAATATTTGCACGAACCTTTACATGTGTGTTACGTAAAATCAGATTGTAGGCGCCCATTTTTCTAGTTTTTGCTTTACACTGGGGAACACTACGCACCAGAACAGATCTGTGTGAATGAGCCAATAGCAATAAATACTGTTGTGTTCATGTCAATACAAGTACAGATCTGAACTGTGTGTATTTTACGGACGTAATCATGATCCCAAAAACATTCACATCCATAAAATTCTTCTTCAGTTTTCAATCCCACAATGTTCTGAATGCATGTATTATGCAAATCTAAGTAATTCTGGTACCGTTTTGTTTTATGCTCCCTGTTCTTGAGAGAGGTGTGCTAGCTGGCTTTGTTCTAAGTATTTTACTTTGGCAGATATGGTCCTACTGTCGATCTGATCGATGGACTTATCTTGCTCATGCTGTTAAGGAGGATACGAATGTTGGAGGAGAGATCCAGGCGCCGCTAGCAGACACATTCTTTGATGTCACATCGGCTGACAAATAGTGTATCTGCTACAATGCATGATGAACTTTGCAAGTATCCAAATAAGTTTTTTAACTTTACTCAGATGTCTACCTCCACTTTCGACGCACTGCTTGAGATTATGCAACCACGACTCGCCCTTTTGGATACCAACATGAGGAGGAGTGCGTCTGCTGAGGAGCGACTATTGGTCACACTCAGGTATGTTCTAATCGTAATGTGAATGTAAAAATAACCTATATGTAGGTATCCGTCATGTGTTGAGTGCATAGTGCACTATGTTGTACAATATAGTATATACCAGGGACAGGTAACATTTGGTACACCAGCTGTGGTACAACTACAAATATCATTGTGTGTCTACCTGTGGGAATCATGCCTGTGGCTGTCAGTCTTGCAATGTCCCTAGTTTCACAACAGCAGGAGTGCTGAAGGTTATCTACCCCAATCATATACTGAACTGTTTCTGTATAGTATATGGATGTAGGGTGGCGTTACCTTAAAGTAGTTCCAGTTGTCCATACCAATAATCTAGCTTACATTCTCTAAGCTGCATGAATGAAAGCTAGTCTCTGTTTGGTTGTTCAGGGCTATGGGCAACTGAAACAGTAACTACTCTTACTTAATTCCCCCTGTATATAATGTACAGAAATGTTTCAGTATATATTGGAGTAGGCAACCACAACATATATCGTCAACAGACATATAGTCTGTGTATGTATGGTTATTATTGTTACTTTAAAAGTCTTATTTTGTTATTCCATTTGATGTTTCAGGTTTCTGGCGACTGGGCAGACATTTGCATCACTTCATCTGGGTGTGAGAACAGTGGCCAAAGTGACTCTAGAAACTTGCCTTGCACAGTGTGAGGAGTTGTGATGCTAGAGCCTACATGGAGCTGTGGAAAGAGCTGGCAGAAGATTCTCGGCGATAACGCAGTTTCCCAACTGTATCGGAGCCCTGGATGGCAAGAAATACTTCTTTCTTGACCTCCTGGGTTTGATGGATGCCCATTCTCCTTCTCATATTGGGGCCTACAGGAGTGCAGAAGATTTATTCAGGGAGTCAACAACCGGACGTAGGCTGTATGAAGGACACCCAAGGATCCCACCTAGGAGACCTCTGCCTTGTATGACAAAGCTAAGTCTGCCATATGTGTTTGTGGCAGATTCAGCATTTGGACTGATGGAGAATCTTCTGTTTATGGATAAGTTCATGCCCACTGTAGGGGCACATAAGATCTACAACTATCGTCTAAGCTGTGCCCATCACAGGGTGGACTGCGCCTTTAGAGACAGTACTGCTAGTAGCGTATTCTCCTGTCTGCAGTACAACTGGCTGTGGAGAAGGCCACCAATGTGGTGCAGGCTTGCTGCATGCTCCACAATTTTGTTATTGAACAGGAGAAAGACATTTTAGGCCCTGCTCCCCAGGACACTGCTCAAGATCTGCACTTCATGGACTTCCAGCACCCTGTTTATACCAAGAACATTAGAAATGCTTTTGCAGATTTCTTTGTGTCCCCAGAGAGAGACGTTGCTTGATATGATTCTATATAGTTTGAATTTCTATTCCTATAAAAAGCCTCTTATTGAAACCATTTCTTTCTGAGTTTTCCTTCATGCTGAGTTTTTCTTCATTCCTTCCAAACTGCAAGGATTCTCATTACATGGCAACAGATATACTGTGGCAAGCGTAATGGTGGTTTATATTTACAGCATGTACGCCCTGTTCATATAGCATATGAAATCACACATGTGCCCACTGTGTGATGTGGCTACCTGCAAGGCACATTTGTGCTGTGGAAGCAGCCATTGGCAGGCAGTTTAAAATTCTCTTTCACAGTGAATGAGAGCCTTACCCTGCCCGTCGAGTGTGCAGGGTAAAGCTCCCATTTACAGTGAATGGGAGCCCCCACATGCTCTTCAGTACATAGTGAGGATAGGCAGATATGCCTGCCCCCATCATATGCTGAATATCAGATGACACATTAGAAATGTACTTTTACAGATATCAGAAAAACCTTATTCTGCCTCTGGCCACTTGCTATCTCTATGGTCTGAAAAAGATCCCATGACAGTGCAAGTGCACATAGAGCGGTACGTTTAATATATATGTGCCCCTGCACACTGACACTATACGTTGAAGTATATGGGACTTCCACACGTTTTTTCTTTTAATAAGACATGTATGTACATTGCCATCAGTCTATGCATTGCTTTACAAAATATTCATTCATGTGAGGCCCAGCCCTAAAAGACCTTGCATTTTATAAGGGTCCATACAAATATACTTGGGCTATTTTAGATAAGCAGCAATAACCTACCAGCATGTAAGCACAGGGAGAACATGCAAGCTACATGCAGATGGTGTCCAAAATGGGATTCAGAGCAACTACTTCCCCCACTCCCCCACGCTGCAAGACTTGCATAACTTATACTTTATGCATTTATTATACTTACTCCCTTGCTTCCATGGGCCTGCAAGGAAAGGCCAGCTCCTGGGTGTAGGGATGACATTTCCTAGGATGGCCTATGGCTGGGACTCCACTCTTACTGCCACCTGCTCCTTGTCAGGTCATGCCTTTATCTGTGACGCAGCAACCTCAATCAATTGCTCAAATCCTCTCCTACAATTTACAAAAATAATATGTCATAACAGTATACATAGTATTTCAGGTATTAAGGCATAGTGCACGTTTTCTGGACTATTAGTACAAGGAGTGAAACACCAGAACCCCTGCTCACTTAACTTGTTCAGTGCCCATGGTCCAGTGTTGTGTCCCTGCATGCTGATTGGTCTGTTTCAATGCCGGAACAATCAGTGTGTGATTTTGAATCTTGCACTGAGAGGTCTGCACTGTCAACAGTACAGAGCTCAGTGCAGGGAGCCAGCTATACCTATCAAAACAGCAGAATTCGGTAAATGTTCAAGAGCAGCTGTTGGTAAAGTGTTTAAAGACTGGACTGTCAGCCGAAAATCTGGGTCTGAACGTGCGAATTGTGGCCGTCAGTGACTAGTCAATGTTAGGGCAGAACGGAGAGTGGCAAGACTGGTACAAGACAACAGAAGGGCAACAGTGCAGTGTCAGATTCCTCGCATCACCTTTCAACATCTCGTGGAGTCACGAGGCGGCCCAACGAAGTACTGATGGGGTGGTCATAATAATCTGGCCACTCAGTGTATGTCCCCGCTGTGTGCTAATGTATGCTGTCAGAATTGAATGCAGGATACCAATAGGGAATCACTCTCTCTATGATAAGGGCAGGCAAGTGTGGTCTCCCATTCAAATGAATAAGAGACTACACCTGCCCCATCCTTATGGCTGCCTGCACAGCACGATAGCATTATACAGACAGCCTGCTGAGTGGTCACAGCGTTCAGTGTTAAAGTAAAAAAGACAATAGAAGCACACCTTACTGCTGTATTTAATGTCCACAGCGGATAAGAACACAGAGAGGGAAATCCACAAATAAAAGCACAACAGATCCAGCAACTCCTTACAGTAAAGGGTATCCACAAACTGTAGATAAGAAGAACAGACAACAGAGCGTAGATTTAGCGCATTAAAGCGGTACATTTAATATCAATAAAACAAAATAGCAACACGCAAACATCAGATGAAAGCGACATTTGCTCTCATAGTGGTATCTCTAATCTGAAGAACATACTCATTGAGAAAGGACAAATAGTTATGTCCAAGAGAAAATGTTGTCTTGTCTATTATGAACTGCACTTGTCTGAAATGTATATCCGAAGATATACATGTATATCATAAATGCATTCAATTAGATTTAAAGAAACTAAAATTGTGCTTTAACAGGAAATCCAAGAAAAATATCGGTTATCATACAGTTATAAGTGATTTCCGTGTTCTGTAGATTGTCCTGTTTAAAGTGATCTTCTGTTTCAGATGGACGAAATGTTGGAGGCAAACATAAAACCGGAAAGACTGAACCAGTAAGTAGCTCTAGTTCTTCACTACTTGTCTATTCAATTAAAAGGGAATATCAGCACGTTGTTAGAACCCCATGGATGAATCCCTGTGATTATTAAGGGTTAAAGTTGTATTGAATTCGAAAAACTCCATCAATGGTCACCAAAGCCAAAATGCAAGTTGCTTTGCATAATTCAAGTAATATAAATGACATACCATTTTAATGTTGCTTAAAAGAGAACTATGGGGTAATCTTTTTATCCCACAGTATTCTTTACGGTCATGGGAGGACATATACTAAACTCCTCCCGTGACCCAAAGCTCAGTATATAGCGAGCTATATACTCAGAGAGCCGCAGCCGTGACAAATCCTGACAATTAGGGATGCACCGATACCACTTTTTTAAGACCGAGTACGAGTACCGATACTTTTGATCAAGTACTCGCAGATAACAATTACCGATACTTTTCGTTAAAGGGACAGGTGACATTTTTTCTAAAGCAATACAAACTAATGCTTTAAGGTCACTTTCTTAATATTATGATTCATGAGATGACGAGGGAAAATGACGGCGGCTTCCCGGCCAATCAGAATGCCGGGTGCTGCGTCATTACATGGCGCCCGGCTTCCGGATTTGCTAGCTTCCTGACCAATCGGGAAGCCGGGCAGCGCGTCATTGCACGCTACCCGGCTTCCTAATTGGCCGGGAAGTCGGCTCCATGCTCTCTCATCACAAGTGACGAGAGAGCATGGAGCCGTTTCCTGGCCAATCAGGAAACCGGGCAGCGTGTAATGATGCACTGCCCGGCTTCCTAATACAGGAAGTACTCGTGCTAGGTATCGGAGCATTTGGGCGAGTACGAGTACTCACCCAAATACTTGGTATCGGCACCGATATCGATACTAGTATCGGTATCGGTGCATCCCTACTGACAATACTGTCGAGATCCACCCAGCTGGCTGATTGACAGTGGGCTCTGCCTATCTAGAGGCAGACCTAGCGTTGGAGAGGGGAGGGGGGAATCCCTGCAGGGAGTGTTGACTGACAGTCACCGCTCTGCAGGCAGATGATCGGAAAATGAGCAAGCGATGGTTTGTATTGGCTGACTTCTTGATCTATAGAGTCGACGTGTGACAGTTTCATTGTCGCATGCCGGCTCTAACTATGATGATGAGTGTAAATCAGTCACCTTATAGTTCTCCTTTAATTTGTAACATTTCCCACACATCCTGGTTCATATCTTGGGAGCCAGTTCAATGCCTTTCTTTTGTTTGTTACACCTATTACTGCTTAGTTTTTCATTTGTGCATTTTGATCCTTCCCGGATGGCTTATGGCTCATGGCTTTAAAGCATACATACAGCAAAAACTATATTTTTCACAGTTTTTATAGAGTAGGGAACAGATAAAACCTCTGTCAGTTGGTTTTGCTGTCTGTATACATTTGAGGAGATCTTCCCCCACTTCCTGGCCTGGTGACAACATTGCAACTATGACAACTATGACTATGGAAATTAGCGCTTGTGTTTTAGGTTGCCTATCCCTGGTGTATACTGATATTTCTGTCTTTCAGCTGTCAGTAGATACAAAGAAGAGACGAATTGGTCCTCAAGTCCGTGGGGATATCCTGAGCTTGGAAGAAAGAGAAGCAAGGGTAGGTGTATTTGGTAGATCACACAAAGTGTTAGACCATTTTTACACACTCATGTGCATATGTCCATCCCCACACAGCTACCTCATTATGTATCACTTCCCCCTTCCTTTTAGATTGTAAGCCCTCAGGGGCAGGACCCTCCTTACCATCTTGTCTTGAATTGTATTGTAATTGTAATGTCTTCCTTACATTGTAAAGCGCTGTGCAAACTGTTGGCACTATATAAATACTATGTAATAATAATATGTTAGTTGATACAAAGAGCAAAAAAGTTGAATTTTCCATAAAAATAATAAAGCTGCAGGCAGGCTCCTTATTGCAGAAGAAACATAGCATATCAATTCTGCAATATGGAGCCTTAGGATACTTGTTCACAATCTTTTTGACAATGTGCATGGAATTGTGCAGTTTAGTGTACATTTCTGGCATCTGCAAGGTTCCTGGAGGAAGTTCTGCGCATGCAAAGAGGTGAAGTCACCCCGACGTAGCCAGTCATGGGCAAAGATCTCGAACCTGGAGAAAGAACGGCAGAGATGTTGGCTCCAGAGAAGGAACTCACGGACGTCACATCACTGTGGGGAAGGTGAGTAAAACTCCACTTTAAAGTAAAACTAAGTCTTCCCACTAAAAAAAAATACACTGCCTGTCCAAAAAAAAGTCACACGCTAATATTTCATTGGACCGCCTTTAGCTTTGATTACGGCACACATTCACCATGGCATCGTTCCAGTAAGCTTATGCAATGTCTCAACATTTATTTCCGTCCATTCATTTTTCGCCAAAATGATGATGAGATGATGGGAGAGTTGGACCACTGTGTAAAGTCTTCTCCAGCACATCCCAAAGATTCCCCATTCCCCATCGCCATAAGGTCAGGACTCTGGTGGCCAATCCATGTGTGACAGTCATGTCTCGTGCTCTCTGAACCACTCTTTCACAATTTGAGCTGATGAATCCTGACATTGTCACCTTGGAATCTGCCTGTGCTGTCAGGGGAAAAAAAACTCCATTGATGGAAACTCCTGGTCATTCAGTATATTCAGGAAGGCAGCTGACCTCATTTTTGGGGCACATAACATTGCTGAACCTAGACCTATTATCCAATGGAAGGCTTTGAAGAATTTGATTAGCTAAGCCAGGTGGTGACTTTTTTTTGGACAGGCAATGCATATCTGCTACGGTACTTTACTGTAAGGCCTGGTTGACACTTGGGCGTCTTACAGCGCGTTCCTACGCTCTGTAAAACGCTCAACATGTGAAAACCAATGATTGCCTATGGGCATGGTTCCCACCTGGGCGTTTTACAGCGCGTAGCAACGCGCTGCAAAACGCCCTACGCCCAAAGAAGTACAGGAGCTTATTTGGGGCGTATTTGCCGCGCGTATCCATTGGGATACAGCCAGGTAGCCCTCGGAAACACACGTTTGTCACGCGTTTTTTTTACCGCGAATCACGGTAAAACGTGTGGCACAAAACGCGCATATTCAATATGCCTAGGTGTGAACCCAGCCTAAGAGTATCTGTACTTTGGAAAATCTCACAAATACGTATTGATCCTGCCGGTAAAGTCTACCAGATGCTGCTTCCTATATTGGAGTGACAACATGGATGCACTGCTCCTGAATTTAGAGCAGCGTTGTCACCTTCCTGTAGGCTGTGCCTGCTTACACTACAGTGGGATGAGAAGACATTGCAGAAGTCATGACTATCAGCATTGTCTTAATTCTTAATCTTGTCAATCATCAGCAGGCCACAGCTAGCCCATCCCAATAATTTCTGGATTGACAGCACTGTCTCTTTGCCGGAAACCCCCCCCCACCACCACCACCACTATGAGCTGTAGTGTGTGAATCGCAAATGAACAAAGATTTGGCTCACTTAGGGAAGGTAAAGGAAGCTTATTTTCTTCACCTGCGCAGACTTCACACTGGAGCCTTTAGGTGTAATTTAAAAATTGCAGCTATTGCTCTTGGTAAAGCATATTTCTCTATGGAAAGGGGAAGGGGGGGTTACTTATGAAGCTGGAAATCCTCCTGTATTGTTCCCTTACAAACTAAAACTGTATTTTCCTTTTTTACAGCGTCTCAGAGTCCTGGGAGGCAACGTAAAACCATTCCAACAGCAACCCAACTTTACATTTGAGCCTTTAAGAACTGCTTCAGATATAAAAGTAGAAAATGCGGATGTGCCTAGGATAAAGAAGGATACTGAGAGCGCAGACTGGTGTAAATGTGGTCGCTGTTTTCATATGTCCACAGAGGAGGAGCCTGTATGCTGCCATGAGATTTCTGGGATGGTCTACCCACTGAATGATGACTGTATCACCCTGCACCCGGCCTTCCAGGATCTGTGTCTGAACCAGGATCGCCTGGACTTCCTGTACCGCTTTCTGGGTCGGATTAAGAGAAGAAATGACGCTACATACTATCTCCAGTAAGTATGACGTGTATACAGTTAGATGGTATATGTCTTCTTGACTTGTAAAATTTTAATTGACTGTCTCCCCCCCCCTCCCCACTACTACTCCCATCCACTGGCCACTATATCACTAGTGTGTCCTTGCAGCTCTGTAACATAGTAAGATAATTCACAACAATCACTGCTCAGATTCCCAAACCGGCTTACACTGTGATTGCATCCCAGGGGTAGGGAAAGAAGCGCTCCATCGCCTATACCAGCTAAATCCAGAAATAGCCACACTCCAAGGGTCTTCCCCAAAAGTAAAAGTCTTTATTTATGGAGAAAATACATACTGTAAAGTCCCTCCACATCTATGCTCAACCACCAATGTGTTTCACCGTCCCAGCTTACTCATAGAGATCAAAGAGATACTCTATGAGTAAGCCGGAATGGTGAAACGCGTTCGTGGTTGAGCATACATGGGGAGGAATTTTACAATATTTATTTGCACCATAAATAAATACTTTTGCTTTCCATGACAGTGACTGGTGACACAGCAGCAAGCAGATGGAACCACAGTGGGAGAAGTGCTGAAGATTCAACCAGCTGAGCTTAAAGTGACATTAAACCCTCAGATTTTTTAACATAAACCAATACTGTTATGTGCGCCTTACTGTAATCCATGGTTGTTTCCCTTCTCTTTGCTGCTCTTCCTTTTACATCCTCATGTCTTCTCATGCTGGGGGAGAACTTCCCTTTGCAGCTGAGTGCCTCTTCCTGTAGTGCTGGCTCAGGTTGTGAACCTGCACACAGACACCATGTATCCATTCCAGAGGCAAGGCAGTCTGCTGCAAAACAGAAGTTCTGCCCAGCATGAGAACAGATACAGATTTAAAAGGAAGAGCAGCAAAGAGAAGGGAAACAACCATGGATTACAGTAAGGCGCACATTACAGTATTGTTTTTTATATTAAAAAATCTGAGGGTTTAATGTCACTTTAAGTCATCAGTGGTGGAACTGGTAAGTGTTCCGGTGATAGAGTCACTGGAAATGGTAGGTGGGTACATCTGCCTAGGTCACTCCCATTCTCTTGTAAAGTAACATGATATTTAAAAAAAATTGAAAGCCAATATTTTTGAAAAATACAGTACCAAAAGGTTCCCAGGGGTTATACCAGGGAATAGACACCCCACATATGGGTCAATATACCCTATACTACATATAGATCACCAAATGTATTCAAACAAGTACAAACCTAACTAAGGAGTAACAGGTTGTCTTTGGAGCAGAGAAGGTAAGGAGCGTATACTTTCCTATTGCTCCCTCTACCTTGTTCACCCTCAAGAACAACGAAAGATCCTTGCACTCGTGAGTACGGAGGCACATGTGACTCACTGCCCTCCTCCTCGTAATACAGAACTTGGAGCCTGAATGGCCAATTGCCAACCCAAAAAGCTTTCACATAGGAGTGATGGGAGTGTTGTTAGTCCTGTGTGAGCTCCAATCCACTGATGGATCAGAACTTAACGGGGGTATAATAAGATTTTGCTTGTTTTACATAGAAAACTGCAGAGGGACATTGTGCACACTGAAACCCCCATGAGCAGCAATATTTACACTCCAGTGCATGAAAATCTTTATTAGTTCACAGACATATCTGTGTTACCGCAGATAATAGCTGACACAGATAGGGATTGGCATCATTTTTCCATAATCTTCTCCTAGCTTTTGAAGGATTATTTTGATTGTAGCATTCTGGTCATTTGCAAAAATCCGTCTGCCTTCTCATGTGGAGTGTGGTAGGTCTTTTGGCTTCCACTTTGTTGGTTAGTGTGACATTTGGTCCCACAGGACCTTGCTTTGGAACCTGTTACAGGAGTAAAGATTTATTGCTAGTTAAATCGCAGCTCCAGGCTAAGAGTGAGATAACATCAGAAACACATATAGTGAATTGTTTTACCTGCCTCAGAATCTGTCCTTCTGTCCAGCCTCAGGATTCACACTTGAGTTGTGCTGTACAGCCAGACGAGGGACATTTTCCTGGTTTAGCCAAACTGCTACTAGTGTCACCCCTCCAGCCCACACCCTTGACATTAATTCAGCGTGATCACCTTATACCTTTAGCACAAGAAGCAGGAAGGTGATGCTGGAAGATGTAAAGCCTTCTTGGCTATTTGTATGCTAGAGGTGTGTGGATCACAATACTGCCTGCGCTTTACATAGTTGCTCATTCACATCAGTCCCCGCCCTCAAGGATCTTACAATCTAAGGTCCCTGTCTCACATGCATACATCTGAGGGCCAATTTAGACAGGAGCCAATTAACCTACCAGCATGTCTTTGGCGTGTGTGAGGAAACCCACACATGTACAGGGAGAGCATGCAAACTCCTTGCAGATAGTGACCTGGCTGGGATTTAAACCAGGGACCCCCAGTGCTGCAAGCAAGGCAGAAGCGCCAACCACAGCCACTGTGCTGACCATAATTATAAAAACATTGAACATATATGCACTTTTATGTACATGTTTCGATGCATGAATGCCTTGTGTTCCAGTATTAGAAGTAGCCATGAGATC